TGCTTGAGGTGATCGACACTTTGGTATTTTTTAGTGCCAACCTTGCTTTCCAAAATACTTCAGACACAATAGTCCAACGGATTGGTATTCGGAGATTTTGGTGGCCACTGTGCGCGGGAAATGAAACGAGGAACCTCATTTTGTAACCATTCTTGGGTTCTGAGGGCGAATTTGCTGAGTCCTGTTGGAATGTCCAAGGTCTGCGGCCAAAATGTTTGCGTGCCCAAGGCTTTAATACACCCTTCAGAACAGTTTCGCGATAATATTCGTCATTTATTCTGATGCCACGGACGATTAAAGCCGATAGCGACCATCGGTAGTAATGGCGGCCCACACCGGCACACCACATGGCCGGCGCTTGAGTTCTGGTGGCCAATCGAAGGTGCACATTTTCAGCTGACCTCTTTGGCAAGCGTCGATCATTTTGCTTGTTTACAAACTGCTGGACAACGAATGTTTCCTCATCGGAGAAAACCAAATTCGACAGTTCACCACTTTCGGCCAAGCTAATCCTGTTGCGGTGTATGTTCTTGCACTTTTTGGAATTTCAATGGCTTTCCCCCGAGCTCATTTTTCAATATTTGCAGAATGGAATATTGCGATATGTTCAGCTGAAGAGCCATTTTTCGGCCACTGCGATGCGGGTTTCCATAAAGTCGCTTCTTTACTTTTCGAACCGTTTTTGCTGATGTTGCTGTTTTCTTCCTTGACGTCGGGCTACGCTACTAGCATGACGGTAACAGCGATGGTACGAGATACAAAAGATTTATTCACATCTAAGAGCTGGAGTGCTCTAACGATAACCACTTGTGGTTTTACAGCCAAATAAAAAGAAATCACGCTATCACGCTTGAATTCCATCACGAATAACTTTTTTTCTGGAAAATTCTCATCAAAATGCTTTTGTACGCTTGTCACTGGAATAATTTAAACAGATGTCGGACGAGTGGATTAGAAATGACAGCAGTCTGAAATTGGTTGCAGTTTTTTCATCTCACGCTGTATATGTTTTTTCCGATGTGGTGTTAAAGTCCCTCACATGCGTAATATGCATTTCACAACAATCATATATGGTACCCGATATCAGATACAGCTCAGAAATAAGTGTTTAAAATTTGGTCTAGATCAGTTCAGATTTAGATATAGCTCTCATATAAATCTTTATTCGATTTTAGGTTTATTGTTCAGCATATTGATAATATCTACCCAAATGAGCTGCATCTTGGCACTTCCTATGGATTTCAGCCTAAAAGCAAGCGCATACGATTTTGGTGAAATCGGTTCAGATACAGCTATAGTTCCCATATATATGTTTCATCCGATTTGGTGTTAAAATCCCTCACATTCGTAATATGCATTCGAAAACAATGATATATGGTACCAGCTATCTCATAGAGCTCGGAAATACCTTTGCCAAATTTTATCGAGATCGGCTAAGATTTGGATATAGCTCCCATATAAATCGATAATCCGATTTCAGGTTTATTGTGCAAATAATGGCTAATATTAGCCTAAATTGAGTGAATTTCGGGAATACGTTTCCATTTGGCGGAACTCATGCACTCTATAGCAATGTTATTTGGTATAAAAGATTAAAATGTCTCCGTCAAATTTATTGAAAATCAATTCAGAATTGGATATGCCTCCCACATATTAGTTCCCAAACCAAACTATAAGCAAATGTTGATAGGTGGTATGATTCACTTCAAATAAATTCTTTTGTTAAGGGAGCTCTACTAAATATGCATAGTGGTGTAGGGTATCATATAGTCGGTCCTACCCCATTTTTAATCTTTCCTTACTGGTTTTACAATACAGTAAACCTTTCAGAGATCTTCTACACACACAAGATTCTTAAGAATGCTTCTGAGCAAAAAATACCTTTCAGTGGTCTTCTATAAATAGGAGATCTTCCGCAGGTCATCCACATAAAGGAAAAGTTCTAACCTTGGAAGGAGAAGGAACTAACCCTTCTAAAAAAACAAGTAAAACAAGTACGCAAAGGCTACAGTAGAGCGGGGCCGACCATTGAATACCCTACAACACTATAATAAACGATACTGTTTATATAGGCGAGATACTCGAAAGAATTCCACAAGATATTGTGACAAATAATAAAAGAAAGCCATCAGGTTTCGTTCTCTAATTTTAGACCAATAACAACTTAAACTAAGTTGCTCATTTCCAATTTATTGGCAGATGTTGCACGTAAATGGTCTTCCTAGATCTGGAACCAATATTTCCCAAAGACCTATAATCTCTCAGAAGTGGCAAAAGATTAACATTTATTATTGGTTTTTGACTGAAACGCATCTATATGAGATACTGACATTTGACTATATTCTTCATGAAATCAGCGTTAACGAAATAGTCAGAAGTGGGTCTTTCCTGTATTTGTGAATTCTCCAAAGAGTCACTGGAATGGACATTTTCGTATTTTGTCTACAAAAGTTGGCAAACTCCTTCACACATTGAATATTTTTGGATGGCCATCCAAAACTGCTTGGCTTTTGCAATCTCCGGTAACCCCCATTCAAATGTGCGTGAGGATCGGGCGATAATTACGACCTGCTGACAATTTTGCAGTTTTTTGGTCCATTTCAATCCCTAAATATATTGCGATCATCTCCAAAAAGAGTAGGCTTCTATTCTGACCCTCATCTTATACCCATGCAAAATTTCGTAAAGATCGGGCCATAAATGCGATCTGTATATGATATCCTGATATCCTAACTACTTAGTTTTGTTAGCTGTAGAAATATAACCAAATGTTTAATTCAAAATGAAAATATGCCAAAAATATGACAAAATTGAAAAAATATGAGAAAATTTTACAAAACCAATATTTTCATCTTTAGAGAGATATTTTTATGCGATTTTTAGACGTTTTTTCTTTCCTGCCAAGAGGCCATTCTGAATTAATGAGAACTGTCGAAAGCAGTTCAGCCGTTCTCGACATATAAGAGATCTTTCAAGCATATCTTCTTTGATAGACATATATATAGCGGTTTAATGAAAAATGTTGAATGTTTTCAACACAAAAGATATGGTCTATTTTACCCGCTAAATATTATCCGATGACCACCCAAATTGGTAGGCTTCTTCCCCGCCCGCTACATACAAAATTCCGCGTCGATTGGTCTATAATTGCGACCTGTATAGCTACTGCAAAATCCGATATTTTTTCAGGATTTGGTCCATTTCAACCCCTAAACATTTAGCGATCATCTCAAAAGAAATAGGCTTCTATTCTGACGCTAACCCCTCCCCCCCACCTTCATTTTAAATTTCGTGAAGATCAGACCATAATTGCGACCTGTAGAGTAATTACAAATTAACATGGACAGACGGACAGACGGACGGACGGACATACATAGCTGGATCGACTCAGCTCGGCGAGCTAGGAAGATCCATACATACTTTCCTATATGGGAAACCAATATTTCGAGGTGTTACATAAATTCTGGCCCAATCAAACTTATAATACCCCCAACACATAGTGTTGTAGGGTATAAAAAGCTAAGTTCAGCCGGGCCGAACTTTTAATACCCTCCACCATTTCGAAAGAAATTGAAAATTTAAAAAAAAAAAAAAAAAAAAATAAAAAAATTCCGAAAAAAATTCTGAAAATACCGAATATCGGGAGGTACCCTTATATGGGGGCTATACGAAGATTTGAACTTGTATACAAAAATTTTTGCCATAGGCTGTAGTACCCATTGGTATCTTCCAGTACGAAAGTTTAAATAATTCCGGTAAATAATGTCGCTAAAATCATGAAAATACCGAATATCGGGAGGTACCGTTATATGGGGGCTATACGAAAACGTGGACCGACATGATTTACAAACTTAACTTGCCTACTGGAAAATTATTCATGTATGCAAAATTTTAGGCTTCTATCTCACTTCGTTCGAAAGATAGCGTGATTACAACAGACAGACGAACAGATAGATAGACAGACAGACGGTCATCGCTAGATCGACTTAGAATTTTACTCTGATCCAGAATATATATACTTTGAAGGGTCTATTATGAATATTTCGAAGAGTTACAAAAGGAATGACTAAGTTAATATACCCTCCATAGAATGGCGGAGGGTATAAAAAGTTAAAAAATCTAAATCTCTTGAGAAGAGCATCAAACTTTGATCGATTCACGACTCGCATAAATGGCCACATATATTTTAAAAGAAATCTCCGTTCCCTTTAACACTTTATCTTCTTCAAAAAAGAGTCAACAACTTCTCAAAAAATAAGAGAATATACAGATCACCCACAAATACGTTTTTTTTTATCCCACTAATTCTAAATCCGTATATCCGTATATACATATTGATACTTTTTAGGCCATATTTTTTAATAAAAAAAATAATGACCTTATCATTCAATACCGTTTTTTATTATGTTAGACGCCATTGTAAATCTCAACACCATCAATTCATTCTCGGAGACAACAAATCATTTTCGCATAATTTGTGATTTTTATTAAAATAAATGATTTTATTGATTTGTTTTGAAATGGTTTTCAAAATTTCCGTTATGGATGACAGCATTAGAAGAACGAACCATTTATCATTCAACTTAACTAGTCAACGAGAATGGTTAGTCGAATTCTTTGCAGAACAAATGCCATTGGTATCTTCGCCAACTGAGATGGGGTATTTTTTACAGTTTTCTCTCTGAATTCTACCGTGATTTGTCATAAATTATTTTGTTTATTATATTTATTTATTTTTTTTTTAACACAAAGTTAACCCCCCCTTATGTTGCTATTTTGGATTTTTTTTTTTTTTTAATCCATTTATCGTTTATTTTTGTTCGCCAAACTCATAATTCTCCATTCAATTCTGATAATTTTCTCTTTTGTGTCTGCTCTGTGTGTGTGTGTGTGTGATTGTTAAAAATCTATTGTTGAATCGTTTTCTTTTTTTAATTTTGTTCTGTGTCTCGTACTGATCATTTATTATTGTCGGTCTGTTCCGATGTTGTTTTTTGCAGATTGTGAACACCAGACATCAGCATCATCGGCATCTCCATCTCCATCAGCATCGGCGATAGACTTTGTCGACGGTCCAGCCAGTGGAGATTTTAGACCGCATAGCAGAACCGAAGTTGACGAGCTTGGAAACGGTTGTGATATCAAAGAGAAATTAGCAACAATGATGATGCCAACGCCACCACCACCTCCACCACCGGGAGTACAAACAGACGCCAATGGCCTGATATTACCAAAGAAACTCATAAATCCCTGTCTAACGTCAACGGATCGCAAACAACTGCATCGAGAATTAAAATTCAATACAAAAATGTAAGTAGATACCCACTTTGAAACGGAAATTATTTTCGATGACTGGCGTGAATTTGTTGGCTGCTGCGGATTTTTTTTTTGTGGAGTAATGTTGCTATTTTGGAATTATTTTTGTCGGGCGAATTCTGAAAGTATTTTGTAGCCTATTTAAAAAAATGCAATGAACGCAATAAAATGTTGAGTGTTTCGAAATTTTGATGATGCTATGTTTAGTTTTTTTTATTCAGTCTTCCTAAAAGAAGACTATTATTTTTTAGATTTTGAAATTGTGAAATTTCTAGCCAACATTTTGCAAAGGATTGACTGAAGTTTGGTATTGTGTATTCATAGTGGATAAAAAGAAGACAATTTACTTTGAGGGCTTTCCAAAGCAATTATTTTCATTAGGTCAATTCTTATATATGGATGCATCAAGATTTGTGGAGCTTGGAAGGCTTCGAATTTTCTGTCGAAATACTTCGTTTAATGAAATACTTTTTGGTTCATTCGAGTATCTCCAATAAAAATGTTCAACATTTTCAAAAAAAAAAAAAAAAAAAAAAAAAAAAACAAGTTAAAAAGTATCAGTCGGTATTGCCGCCATATATATACCCTCAGCCTATGTTCGATTATTTAAATATATTTTGACTAGTGTTAAGATTATTCAAACGTTTGACCCTCTATGGAGCAGGTCCCGAAGCAGTGGGCCATTATTGCGACAGATCTGCCAAGTCTAAATGGAATCGGATGTTAATTTGGCGTTTTATGAGCTTCATGGGTACACAAAATTTCAATATTTTGTGGGAGAGGTACCAGAGGGAGTGGACCGATGTATTCCCCCTTCCCACCAGACCATGGGTTAATACAAATATTAGGATGTGTCAAATTTGAAGACAAACGGACTTTTACATCACATTTAATGAGATTGTAATTATTCAAAATTTTGACCATTTGTGGGGGAGGTACTTGATGGAGTGGACCGATATTGTCCATTTTCACACCTGACCTAGTACTGACGCAAATTTTAGGATATGCAAAGTTGGAGCAGAATCGGATTATCCTTTCTCTTTTTGTGCAAAAATATATTTTTTGATCATTTCGAACTTTTGTGGAGGAGATACCAGATGGAGTGGACCGATATTGTTCATCTTAACACCAGACCTTGGATTAATATAAATATTGGGAAGTGTGAAATTTGAAGACAATCGGACTCTTACATCACATTTTATGAGAGTTGCAATTATTCAAAATGTTGACCTAGTACTGACGCAAATATTAGGATTTGCAAAGTTGGAGCAAATTCGGATTATCCTTTCCCTTTCTGTGCAAAAAATATATTTTTTTACAAATTTCGACGTTTTGTGGGGGAGGTACCAGAAGAAGTGGACCGATATTGCCCATCTCCGAATTCGATCTAAGTTTGACAAAAATATTACGATGTACCCAATTTGGACCAAATCGGATACTCCCTTCGAGAGTTATCGTGCGCACCAGCCAGCCAGACAGGCAGACGGATGGACGGACATCGTTAGATCGACTTCAAATGTTCTGAAACGGATTTGCTCCAAAGAGACCGTTATTTCGACTAGGCACTTTTTGGCCGTATCGAATGATATATACCCTCTGTAGCCATATGGCTGAGGGTATAAAAAACTTACACGAAACAAATGTATTTTCTAATATAGGTGAACTTAATGAAATGGTAATATTTTTATCAGACCACTATGGATATTTAGTAGACCGACCAACTTTTGGCTTTTGAGCAGTTATAGTTTGGTTTCAGAGGGAACTAATATATAGTAGGCATATCCAATTCTGAATCGATTTTCACTAATCGATTTTCACAAATAACATTGCTATAGGGTGCATGATATCACTTCGAGAAGGATTATATAATAAAAAATGTGTAGCGGAGTTCCACAAAATGTGAACGTACGTCGCGAAATTCACTCCATTTTGGCTGATATTAGCCATTATTTGCACAATAAACCTGAAATCGGCTCAAGAATATATAGGGGAGCTATATGGAAATTTTAGTCGTTCTCGATAAAATTTGGCAAAAATATTTCTTATATATATATATATATATATATATATATATATATATATATATATATATATATAAGATGTAGCTATATCTGAACCGATTTTCACCAAATTTGGTGTACTTTCTTCCAGACTGAATTCGGTGTAATGTGCCAAAATGCAGGTCATTTGGGCTGATATTGGCCATTTGGCGCACAATTAACCCGAATTGGGTTGAAGATATATATGGGAGCTATATCCAAATCTGAAGCGATCTTGATAAAATTTGGCAGAGGTGTTTGGTACCAAATATCATTGTTGTGTAGTGCATATTACGCATATGAGGGACTTAAAATCCCCAATCGGGTGAAACATATATATGGGATATATAGCTATATCTGAACCGATTTTCTCTAAATTTGATGTACTTGCGGCTAGCCTGAATTTGGTCAGATGAACCAAAATTCAGGTCGTTAGGTCGTTAGGCTATACCTAAATCTGATCCGATTATCATCAATTTCAAAAAGGTTCGTTCTTGGGCCAAACAAATATTGTTTGCAAAATTACATCTCAATCGGATAATAAATGCGACCTGCATTTTGTTCACATGAATACATGAACAGACGGACGGACGGACGGACTGACTGACATGCATAAATCGACTCAGAAATGATTCTATAAATATCCTCTGAAGTAACTATGGGTCTATCTCGCTTCCTTCTCCCTGTTAGAAACAAATGCACGAAGACATAACACCCTTAATACTATGCGGTGTAGGGTATAAAAATATGGAATAATAAAAACATAATAATTACTAAAGTAGAATGTGAAATGAGCAAACTTCGCAATTTTTTCCTCAGTATTAGATCAAATGGAATACATAGATCCCCTCTTGCTGGTACATCTCTCATAAATTTACAAATATCTCATATAAACCGAAAGACGTACTCAATGTAGTCCAAATTTGGCACAAGGTAATGCAGTCATATAGTTCAGGTGTTACAATGAAATATTTTGGTTGTCCCTCCCCGCAAAGTAAAAAATTCTGAATTTGACATGCGCATTCGTTTTTAAAGCGCCATTATTTATACCAGTATTAGATCTTGTGTGCAGTTTTCCATAAATGTTTGCCCTTTCCTTTCTGGAATCTCGTCCACAGATATATCTACTTTTTAAATATCAAAAATATCCCAATGTCATCCGTGTTTTTTTTTTCAATTTTGGGTCATTTCAATGTTAATAGAAACCATAGGTCTATTTCCATTACTACCTTACTCACAAAAGGCTAAAGTTTTGCCACTTACTGTGCGAACGAGGTCTCCGATTTGTTCTAATTTGTGCCCATCTAATATGTTGTTCCATGTTTGACCAGACGCGGGGAGTTTTTAAAACATTTAAATTTTTTGACATTTGTATTTGTCAATCTTTGAAGAATATTTTTATAAGGTCTTGCCAAAACAAGTCGTGTCCATTTTCACAACTGACAAAGTCTGATACAAATATGAGGACGTGCCAGGTCTATGAGTTGGGGGCATAATAATTTTGATTGGGGCAAATATACAGGGTGAGATAGAAACACTGCAACAAAAGTTAAACGCCATAAATTTTACGTTTATTGAATGGAAGCAAACAACGCCGGAAATAGCATTAAATTTAAGAATAAGTTTAGATTTGTTCGAATTGGTCACCTTTGGCACGAATTATGGCCTTCAAGCTCTACTAAAACCGTCACACACTGCCCGAATGTTGCTCTGCGGTATTTTGGCCCATTCCCGGCGAAGCGCATGCTGGAACTGATCAACACTTTGGTATTTTTTAATGCCTTGTGTTGCGCTTGCTGAGAGCGATGGTGCTGAAACCTGTTGGAATGTCCAAGTTCTGCGGCCAAAATGTTTGCATGCCCAAGGCTTTTATACACCCTCCAGAATATTTTCGCGATAATATTCGGCATTTATTCTGATGCACGGTCGATTAATACGAGCGGAGAGCGACTATCGGCTGTTATGGCGGCCCACACCATCACCATGGCGGGCGCTTGAGTTCTGATGGTCAGTCTATTTTCTTTCCGTTGCGGTGTAAGTTCTTGCACTTTTTGGAATTTCAAAGACTTTACCCGAGCTTATTTTTCAATATTTGCCAAATGGAATATTGCGATAATATAGATGCAAAGTCGCTTCTTTATTTTTCGAACCATTTCTGCTGGTGTTGCTGTTTTCTTCCGGCCACTTCCTTGACGTCGGGCTACGCTACCAGCACCAGACGAGCGATGGTACGAGACACAAGATTTTTTCACATTTAAATGCTGGAGTGCTCTAACGATAGCCACTTGTAGTTTTTACGCCAAATATAAATAAATCACACTATGACGCTTGAATTCCATCACGAATAACTTTTTTTCTGGAAAATTCTCACCAAAATGTTTTTGTACGCTTGTAAACAATATGATGAGCTGTCACGGGAAAAATTTTAACAACTGTCGGGAGAGTGGCTTAGAAATGACAGCAGGCTTAAGTTTGGTTGCAGGTTTTTGTATTTTGTATCATATATTTATTGTGACCTGCTACGAAATGGACAACATTGGGCCATTTCTTCTGAACTTACTCGATAGAGGTCAACAATTTAATCGAACATTGGTTGAGGGTACACATCTGTCGGCAAAACCGACTGATACTTTTTGACTACTTTTTTATAATAATAAACATTTATTTGTACCTTTGAGTACTTTTCGTACATTTTTAATGCGAATATTTAAAATCCATAAAACCCCTTCATACCAAATTTCAAGCTTCAAGTTCTGCACATTCTATTAACGCCAATCTTGACTACCTTTCAGTACATTTGTAGCTTTTAGTAATTATTGTACCTTCTTAGTACTATTTTTATATCTGTTTTACTTTTTTGATTGTCTGTCCTATATTTACATAACTTAAGTGTTCTAGCTATTATCCATCCCTCAATACCATTGGTATAATCTTTTACACCTTTTGGGACTTTTTTCCTCGGATTCCAAAAAATCCCATCTTATAGAACTCGTTCGCAGCAATTGGCATGCTTATACAAAATTATTGGTTACATTACTTGAGAGGTTTTCGAGAGGTGTCTTCCAAATATAAAGCATCCACCGAAATTTTTCAAAAAAATTTTTTCAATTTTTTTTTATTTTTTTTTTTTTTTTTTTTTTTTTTTTTTTTGCTAATATATATTTTCTGCTAATATATATTTTTTATCATTTCCCCATCTCTCTATTTTTGCAGGGGCATCAGTGTTCTAAATCAGAAAACAGAACTGCAGCGTGCCTATGAGAAACGGCAACAGCATAACATGGAACAGCAGCCTCCCTCACCCACCTACGGCCTTAAAAGTGAACTCAATCGTGTGATAATGGAACGAGCTCAAAAGCATGCACAAGCCCGCCTTCAAAATCAGGAAAATAATGACGACGATAAGCAGTACGTCAATCCGGAATATCTGAATGCGAGAGCAAAACTGCGGGCGGGACAAAGGACTGAATTGAAATAAAATAAAATAAAATAAAATAAAATAAAATAAACAGAAAAAATTTATGTTTTTAAGAAAATTACACACCCACACAAACACATACCTAAATATATATAGAAAAAGAAAACCCCCAATTCCCATACAAACACTAACGAAAAAAAAAAAACAAAACAAGGAGGGACTTCTCGAAATTTATTTTTTATTCAAATGAAATTCAACAAAAATATTATTTTTGCAAAAAAAATTATTTGGACAATAAGACCAACAAAGAAAGAAAGGTCTTTGCCCCTGGAGTAACATTTAATTGTACCTATATCGAGATATAGGAAATTTTCTTAGATTATATTCTATTCAAACAAATTTGTATGTAAAATTTATGTTTTTTTTTTTCATTTAGTTTTAATTTAATTGCAAAATCTTGTGAGTTGAGTGTTGAGTTTTTTGTCCTCCTTTTTTCTCTCTCTTCCACATGTTTTTCTCTTTTTGTTTTTTTAAAGAAAAAATCTACATTACTTTGGTAATTCCCTTCACTTCCGTTTGTAAGAAACAAAAATAAAAGAAATAAGTAAAGAAAAATATATTATTATTAATTATAATTATTATTTAATTTTAGTTTAGTTTTATAAAAAAGCAAAAAACAAAAAATATAAATAAAATGGATGGAAAATGGATTTGATAATGTTAGCCTATGGAAAATAAAAAAAATGTAATGAAATTTTCCCACAGCAAAGATATAAACCTGATTTTCTTCGTCTTTATATTATTAGTACACACATATATATTGTTCTTTGTCAAATACAAATACATATAGACTTACATATACATACAAGATATTACTATAAAAGAAAGAACACTTAAATTAACAACAAATATGGAGATAAACAAATTTGGAGTTGATTTTCTAAAAACTTAAATCCCCTAAGAAAATTTGACATTCTGATGATTTTCGGATGCAAAATAAAACAAAAATTATGGAAATTTCTCCCTTTCGCGTTATGGAGGGAGTAGTTTAAGTTTGAAAAAATCAATCCAAATTTGTTTGTATCTTAAAAAAATAATTTTTGTAATTTTTTATTATTTTTGATTTAGAATTTATTTCCTCCAATATTTTCTTCAAAATTCAATTTGTAGTATTCCAAAATTAATATGTTCTTTTTTTCTTCGTGTTATTTCCAATATTCTATGTCATAATTATTTTCCATGTATTTGAAGATTTTTCATAGATTTAAGTTTATTTTTCTTTGTTAAATGTCAATCAACGAATTACACCGAGTTTATTTTCATTTTTTTTTTTTTAAATACTGATTTGACAAATTTTTAATTTTACAATTAAAAAAGAGTAAAATGTGGATAAATATGCTTTATTATTATTTTTTTGATTATCATTATTTTTTCGTTTTTTAAGTTGTATTTTGTAAAACAAGAAAGAGAGAATAAATAAAAACCAATATTCAAATTGAAATTGACTGTGAGTGATATATAATTGTTCTGAATTATGACACAATTTTGAATTTGAGGAATTTGGGGGATCCAATTGACTTGGATAACAATTTTTTATTTAAATAGAAAAGAAACACTACAAAGTATTAGGTGTGTTAATAAACTTCTCAACTATAGACCCGCAACTGTTGCGAGATTTTGTTAGATCAGATGTCTATTGAGAATTGGGGTGTCACACCTTAGCTTTCATTTTAAGACCTTTAGACCTCGGGCGGGGCCGACTTTATGATACCCTACACCACGTTGCTAATTTAGTAGAGCTCCACATAACAATTAAATGTTTTTATGAGAGAATTCAATCATACAAGTTATGATTATAATTATAATTTAAAATTCAAAGGACCAAATATGCCGAAGCATTTGTATCCTTTAAATTCGGACTTGTGTTGCCCATTTGGTGCAAAATTAATTTGAAATCAGATAAAAATATATATGGGAGCTATATCCAAATCTGAACCGATCTCGATATAATTTGGCAAAGATATTTCTGAGTTGTATTTGATATATTTCCCTGAACATTGTTGTTATGAAGTGCATATTACGGTTGTGGGTAACAAATGTAACAAATCGGATGAACAATATAGATGGACTCTATAGCTATATCTGAACCGATCTTCACCAAATTTGAAATACTAGCTTCTAGACTCTTTTCGGTCGTAAGTGCCAAATTCCATCCCATTTAGACAAATATTAGACGTTTGGTGCACAATAAAAGGTAAATCGGACGAAGTTATATATGGGAGCTATATCCAAATCTGAACTGATCTCGATAAAATTTGGCAAATGTATTTCTGAGTTGTATTTGATATATTTCCCCAAATATTCTTGTTGCAGAGTGCATATTCCGGACAAATCGGATGAACAATATATATTGGAGCTATAGCTATATCTGAACCGATTTCGATCAAATTTGGCATACTCATTTTCAGGCTTAATTTGGGTGTATATGTAAAATTCCATACAATTAGGGCTGATATTACACGTTTGGTGCACAATAAAAGGCAAATCGGACGAAGATATATATGGGAGCTATATCTAAATTTTGACCGATTATCTCCAATTTCAATAGGGTTCGTCCTTGAGTCCAAATGATGTGTGCAAAGGATCTGGATCGGGCAATAAATGCGACCTGTACTTTGTTTACAAAAATACATGGACAGACGGACGGACGGACATGCATAAATCGACTCAGAATGCAGATCATCAAAAGGAACTATGGGCCTATCTCGTTTCCTTTTGCCTGTTACAAACAAATGCACAAAGACATAATACCCTGACCACCTTGTGGTGTAGGGTATAATAACATACCTATAGCCACATTTATATTCAAAATCCCTTTAAGTTTGTCATTCCGTTTGTAACACCTCGAAATATACATTTTAGACTCCACAAAGTATATATATATATTCTTGATCAGCAAAGAATTCTATTTCGATTTAGCGATGTCCGACCATCTGTGAAAATAACTCTAGCTTCTGAACGAAATGAAGTAGGTTGATAAAATTTTACTTAAATGTGTATTATGTCTGCAGTATTTTTGGTATTGAAAATGGGTCATGTCCACGTCTTCGTATAGCCGCCAAATAACTGTACCTCCTGATGTTAGGTACATTAATGATTTCAGCGACATTATTCACCGGAATTGTTTCAAATTTAAGACAGAAAATTGTCTGTGCAGGTTCATGTCTTCGTATAGGTATTTTGATGATTTTAGCGACATTATTCACCGGAATTGTTTTAAATTTGGTATTTGAAGTTCGTAATGGGTACTACAGCCTATCGCAGATAATTGTCTGTGTAGGTCCACGCTCTCCATACGCGGCACTTTGATGTTTTTTTATTATTCACCGATTTTTTAGGTCCACGTTGACGTATAGAGTCTAATATAATGACTATATTCGTTTTTTTTTTTTAATTTTAACAGATTTTTTTTTTTTTTTTTTGAAAATTGCCAAATTCCACCCACTTGGTGGAGGGTATTCAGAATGAGGCCCGATCGAACTTACAGCTTTGTTACTTGTTTTAATAGATTTCTTCCAACTAAAATGATTATCTAAGAGGGCAAAACCGAACCAATTCGAAAAAAATTAAAAATGGAAATCATTATTTATTTATTTTTGTGGGATCTACAGAAATTTAAAATGTTTTGAAGATTCTAGGTTTCATGGGATATCTCACATAATATTTTTCCTTTTTTGTTTCGGTGTGTGATGGCGTGTCGTTCATGAAAAAGCAACCTACAAATATAGGTTTTTTGGTTGATCGAATATCACCCTTTTTATACCCTATACCACATAAGGGTGGTAAGGGTGTTATGTCTTCGTGCATTTGTTTGTAACATGGAGAAGGAAGCGAGATAGACCCATAGTTACTTTTGAGGATCTTCATAGAATTACTTTCAGAGTCGATTTATGCATGCCAGTCCGTCCATGTATTCCTGTGAACAAAATGCAGGTCTCATTTATAATCCAATTGAGATGACATTTTTCAAACAATATTTGTTTGGGCCAAGGACGAACCCTATTTAAATTGGTGATAAACGGATCAGATTTAGATATAGCTCCCATATTTCTTCAAACGATTTCGGTTTAATTGTAAACCAAATGGCCAATATAAGTCCAAATGACCTGAATTTCGGTACATCCCACCGAATTCAGTCTACCAGCCATTTAATAAAATTTGGAGTTGAGATATAGCTATAGCTTCCATATGTTTTATCCGATTCGGGGTTTAAAGTCCCTCATAAGCGTAATATGCATTCCAGAGATCAAATACAGCTCTGAAATAAGTGTATCAAATTTTAACAAAATCACTTCAGATTTGGATATAGCTCCCATATATATCCGCAACCGATTTGAGATTAATTGTGCACTAAATGGCCAATATCAGCCCTAAAGGACTGAATTTCGGCACATCCGACCGAATTCAGTCTAGAAGCTAGTACATGAAAATTGGTTCAGATATTGGTATAGCTCCCATATACAGGGTTGCCCATTCGACGGACCCATCTGGCAACGCCATAACTTTTGACAGAGATGTCACATCGCTTAATGACGTACCGCGTTTGAAGCGTCAGTCCAAGCAGATTTTTACCATGAACCAATACACGCCACGCGAGCGCTCTGAAATAGTTGAAATTTACATTCAACAGAAGAAGTCAATTGTGAAAACTCAACGTGCTTTTAAAACATTAAAGAATGTGAGATGTGCGCCTTCTAAGAACACCATTAAGCGTTTATACGAAAAATTTTCGACTGGTAAGGCTCTTTCTAATCCGAAGAGGCCATATAAAAGTCGACCAAGGCGATCGGCCGAGAATATCGCTGCCGTACGAGCCAGTGTTGAGAGGTCCCCAAGAACATCCCAAAAACGCCGTTCTCAGCAGTTGGGCATGGCTCGGTCCACTTTACAACGGATTATTTGCATTGATTTGCATTTGTTCCCGTACAAAATTTAATTGACGCAAAGAATGTTGCCTGCGGACAAGCCTCGTCGATTGGAATGGGCCCAAAGAGTCATCGAAATGGCCGTCCGTGCGTCGAATATGGGCAACCCTGTATATGTTTCATCCGATTTGGTGTTTAAGTCAATCACCTATATATCCTTAATCCGATTTCAGGTTTATTGTGCAAATAATGGCTAATAACAGCCCAAATGGAGTGAAATTCGGGACGTACGTTTCTATATTGTGCAACTCGGCTCCGATATATATTTTTTTATATAATCCTTCTCCAAGTGATATTATGCACTCTATAACAAACTATAACTGCTCAAAAGCCATATGTTGCTACTTGAAAAAATTCTTTTGTTATGGGAACTCTTAGTCGGCACTGACCGTCTTTTGACTTTTCCTTACTGGCTTAATCCTCAGCTGTTTGAATTTCGAGGGGACCGAAATTTGCCTCATCGACATTATGGTATTTCGAGTCGATCTAGCAATACTAGTCTGTCGGTCCACAACGCAGTATAAGTGTCTGTTTTTTTAAAAATTGTGTGAGGATATATCAAATCGTTTACCTATATCCAAGTCTACGGACTTAATAAAATATGTAAGTAAAATGTTATCACTTACTCCATTTCGTTCCGAAGTCAGAATGATTTCGGTATACAGATCGAGAATAGTCCTGGGAGAAAAACAAAGAAATCGAAAATACTCACTGGAATATGAGCGAATAAGCTTTGCTCTACCAATGGAGAGACTATAAACGTACATTGAACATGTTCTGCAGAATGAATGGCCTTTGTCAATGTTTATGTCAACATCTTTTTTTTGTGAATCGGAAGGGATATGACCTAACACAATAATAAAGTAGATGTTTTGAGGGGAAAACCGTGATCGAACTCGATTTATAGTACGTTTATAGGTTACCGGATAATGGAAACCAAGTGGATTGAAATTGTAAATTCCATCGGATATTCGTCAAATAAACCTCATAGATACACGCGGCAAAAAGCTCTAATATAAACCTACTTTGAGGTCTATTAGAAGTATTGCCATTAACAAAGTTTGGACTGAATCCTGAGAGTTAATATGGACATCAGAAAGCTAAGTCGACTCTAAATCGAACAAACGGATTTTTATTGAAATAGACTGCTATATAACAACCTATCCAGGGGGAAGAATAAAATCAACGATTTTTGTAAATTTTCAGTTTTTATTTTTTTTAGAAAGAGCTTATATTTTAACTGCAGGGACCCCGTTGTCATTGCAGCGATCTGAAACCACAATTTCGATTAAGTATATTTTCTCTCTGTTAAAAATTCAAAGTAGTTTTGTGCCCCAAAAGACCT